ATTCAACCATCTTCCCCCACTGATCCTCATTGTGGAAGCTCAATTTTGAGCTCAAACTTCTGTCTTAAACCAGGACAGAGCTCAATCCACCTCCACAGTCCACCAAACTTAAATTACTTGTACCCACACCTTCACAACACTGAAAGAAGAAAAAGCCCCATCAAATCCCCCTTCCACAGAGCCTTTATTATAGACTTTGATCAACACCTGAAATCGAGCTTGGTCGAATTCATACCTAGACCTTACACCACAAAAAGAGGCTCAATCCCTAGCTTCCTTGGACTCCAACAAACGTGCCAAGCATCTCTGATTGAAGCTTCCCTTCTCAGATCAAAGGTATTGAGCTCCTCCTCATCCCGAGCCTCTTTTGATTCTCCATTTGCTTGGGCTTAATTACATGGGCAATTATAATATGACATTTTAGAAATAAAATAATTCCTCTAGTCTAGACGAGCATTTTAAATAAAATTCATTCAATTTGGTTGAGAAATGAGGGAGATGTCAAGCCTGAAATGAGGGAGATGGAAGATGGACGGTTCTCGGGTTAGGCCATTGGGGACGATGACGAAGCTCCGTTTGAACAAGTGTGTATCGGATGAACGGTCAAGATGAAGCCGGACAGCGCTTCTTTACATGAACCGCTGGACGCGTGGCTGCTAGCGTGGACGGTGGCGTCAAATGGGAGCGCGACGCGTGAAGCTTCCGAGCTTCCTAGGATCCAGTCAGCGTCGTGCGTTTAAATAGATAAATAGGGATTTAAATAATTCAAAAAATGACCCCTAACTTTTAAAATTCATATCTTGGTGTAGAAAAATCAAAAAAATAAAATAAAAATACCCTCTTGCTCAGTGAACAGAGGAAAACAATGTGGAAATAATTTAAAGTCCATTTAATGCATGTTTTATTTTTAATTAATTAAACACTCTCTTGAGTCTTTTGATTCTCCATGCATATAGGCATTTCACCATGTCTAGAATTTTTGGCATGTCGTAGCCTCTGTTAAGGAGAACATTTCTTGATTTTTCCAAAGTCAGAGGAGACTTCTAGACAAAGATCCATATTTTTTAAATTTATGCAATTATTTGCTTGAATTAATCATAATAATTAGCATGTTGCTTATAAAAATCCAAGAAAATTTTGGAAGGTTTACTATGACTAGAGAACCTTTAGGAAAATCTTTCATGAGCCAAGTCATTTAAAATACACCTAATCTTCATAAACCCTAAATCACTAAGATAATTAATTTTGAAAAATATAAACATAAAAATGACTTGATTTTTTATAAAATGACTTGATTTTTTGGTCCAACTATTTTCTAAGGTCCAAAGAACTCCCCATAAAAATTTTAAAGCACTTTGAGTCCATTTGATGGCCTAAATTGATTTTTCAAGTTGAATATCATTTTTGGCACTAAAATTGTTTTTAATGATCAAAATATAACTCAAAAAATTATGAAAAATTGTTTTGGGAGTTCTCTGTGATCAGTAGATTTTATAAAAATAAAATGGTATTTAAAATAAAAACTTCATTTTTTATCATATTTTTAAATATTTAAAATAATTAAAAATTCATAAAAAATCACAAAAATAATAAAATCCATGGAAATGTTTTAAATTGTTTTCTAAGCCCTTAGAAACAATTGAAATATTTTTCCTGATTTTCTAAATAAAGATATGGTATTTACGCGGAAAAATCTGTAAAGGGACAGAGTCACGGGGCCTAGTCCAGTTGTAAGAAGTCCACTATAGGTTTCAAAGTTAACAGCGTTGACTGATGGCGATGGTCGACAGTGATTGACGATGATCAATAGCGATCGACGGTAGTCAACGGTGGTTGGTGGTGGTCGACGGCGGTCGGCATACGCTCGCTGAAATCAGAGCTATGGATGACTCTTAATTGAAGTTTGAATGTTTCTTACTCAATAATTTGCCTCGAGATTCATGTCATGTCTTGAAATTCGTGTTGGATGATGAAAATTTATTGGTGCCGTATCAGAGCTATTTCATTAGCCTAAAAAATATTTATAAAATGCTATCAAATTTGTTATCTCCCATCAATCAAATGGAATTAAATTATTAAAAGCAAAAATCTAAGAAAAGCATGGCCTTCTAATAAGGGAAAGCAGAAGCCGTCACCAAGCCTTTCCCTGCATTGGCAACAAGAATGGCCGTTAGACAAAGTGGTCCCTAGAAAATTAATACACAAGAGGGTAGTAAGCTAAATTACAAAATTTTTCCACTATTATAGCCATTCCTTAGAGGCTGAACCATACATAAATATCATGAGTGTTTGCTCGAACATACTTAATAATATAAACCAAACCTTTTTGCCATTTAGGTCAGAACCCTTTTGTGTATTTCTTATGCCCTTCAAAACTTGTATCTATAAATTCATGTTGCTTTTATGAGGCAAAAAGGAATCATGCATGCTATGAGGAGAATAATAGTTGGGTCATGGGGAAGGAAAACAAAACGCAATATATTCACTTCTTAATTATTTTGGGGGCCACTTTGCGTGACGGCCATAATTGTTGCCAATGCAGCGAAAGGCTTGGTGACGGCTTCTGCTTTAAAGGTTGAATTTCCCTTATTAGAAGGGCATGCTTTTCTTAGAATTTTTGTTTTTTTAATCATTTATTTGCATTTGATGGATGGGAGATATCAAATTTTATAGCATTTAGCATTTTATAAATATTTTTTATGCCTATGAAAATTAGCTCAAATTTTTATACTTGTATAAAATAATTCAACTGGACAGACCTTATTTACTTATCTATAAGAAGTTTTACATGCAGACCAATCAATTCCAATGTGTTTTCATAACTAACACCTAAATTTCAATTTATATATATTCATTATCTATGCTTGAAAAAGGTAGGTTTCCCTTTTTTTAAGTCAAAATAATGATATTTTTTGTATGATATAAAAAGTTTGCCTGGAATAAATATATATATAAAAAAGGTTTTAGATATGTAAATACATAAGGATTGGTTGGTACACATGTAAATATAAATATATAATGAAATATAATAGTTTTTTTAATACTTCAAAAATAAGTTAATTGAAAGGAAACAAAAAATTTGATGATATTGTCGAGCTTAGAGTTAGTGGAAGCAAAGCTGGAATAAGAACTTCCAGGGACATTACCCAACAAAAACAGGGCACTAATGTGCGAAGGGGAGATATCCACTCGTTTTTCCCTCACTAAGACTGAGTCGTCAATGGCCTCAGTGAGGTTTGCATAAAACTCCCAAACTACTAAAATTATTGCTACAACAGTAGAGTAGCAGAAGGCTTCCCAGTGGCGAGAAACAATCATGCTCTCCACCTGACCCCCAAGACTAATGAAACCCCGATTGACAATAAGCTTCTTTGACATCAGGATTTCATTATATCGCTCCTAAGCTTTATAGCTAATGAATTTCTTCTGATCAAAGCAGCTTTCTCCCTTGGATTCTTTAGTTTTAGGAGTCATTAAAAGTGGTTCTAATGAAAAATGTTGATGATAAGAGGCTTAAAATGAAATGTAGGGTGCACACAATATGCTAATCACAGGACAAATCAATCTCTTCCCAAAAAGTTTCTCTCCTTCACTATTAAACCAAAAAATCCAAAAATTTCTCTGATGAAGAAGGAAATGCAAGGTTAAAGATGTAGAATTTTACATTTGCAAGAGAAATTCCAAGCTTCTAATGCTCCAAGGTTGATCCAAAATGCAAGAGAAAGAATCCTAAGTATTGCTCCAAAAGAGTCGCACAGAAAATTGAGTGAAAATGACCTAAACTGAAGCTGTCAGGCCGGTTTTTGTCGAGCAGGTGAAACCCTCGCCAAAGCGTCGTGATATGGGCTCCAAGGCGCTCGGGTTGTAGTGGCTTGGCTCCCAGGCGCCGGGTTTTAGGCGCCTAGTCGCCAGTTTGTCTCCTGGTTGTTTGATACCAGGAGTCCCGATGCCTTAGTGCATGCTTCGATTTTAGTTTAAATCATTTCAATTGACTATATCGATCCTCGCCAAGTCTCAATTCACACTAGAAAACACTTAAACATAAAAGATCATAGAAATTAGCTTGTGCAGCTTCTCATCTCACTCCCTTCTTAAATTCCAATTTCTGACAGAATCTCATTCCAAATAGCTAATGGGTGCTTTTAGATACTTTGTTAGGGTCAACCCCATAGACAAGATTGTTCCCAAAATGTTAGCTTATGTGTTGCCAACCTTAGGAATTTCCTCGTCCTCTAAAACATGCACCTTTAAAAGTAAAAAAGAAGAATGAAAAGATCATCCACATGTTCATCTATTGTCGGGTTATTGAACCCACTTAATGAAAAACATGGCCAGATAAAAGAAGTAATAAAATTGAAATGGTCCCGTCCAAAGACTAAATCCATCATAACTCGGGATAGACCTAAGCTCGAATAAAAGCTCAAGCGTAGAGGATAACGTTGATCCTTCTACATCCAAAACCATGCTACAATCCACATGATTTCCTCTAGTGTGTGTGGGTGTATGTAGGGATGTCAAAACGGCTCGTTCTTCTCGAACGTCTCGTGTTCGGTAAGAAGCTTGTATTCGGCTCTTTCGATAAGTTAACGAGCCGAACACGAACAATGATTTGTTCGTTCATGTTCGACTCATTTTGGCTCGAAATACTACTCATCAAAATACTACTCATCAATTATATATATATATAGACACACACACGGCGTTTTTATATGAAATACAAGAAATCAAGTTTAATATTAAATTCTGAAAGTATGAAATTTTATAGTTATTCTAATGTACTTATTTTAGTTAGTCACTTATATTCTCATAAATCATAAAAAAATATATTATTATTGCCATCCAGTCGTACCAAGGTCAAGCGTTTGCTTTGTGTTTTCACGGAGGAATGAGGTGGTAGTTATATCAAACGTGGGAGAGAGAGATGGGTTTAATAACGGTTAATTCAAATAACGTAGTTATATCGAACGTGGGAGAGAGAGAGGTGTTTAAGAAAAAAAAGAAGAATAAGTTTCACTTCCTAAGGGAAAGTTACATGCATACTTCAAAATTCTTAGGTATTCAAATAACTGTAGCACATGCATGAAAATTCGTGTTTAATAACGCCCTTACACTCTATTAATATATGATTTTAATTTGTTTTGACATGATTGTGTATATTCAGCACAATGTCGACAATCGAGAGAACCAAAAGCACAAGTGCTGGCAGTTCAAACTCTGCTGTGGAGATGAATTCTCAGGTAAGCAATTTGGATAGAACTAGATTAAGCTTATTTACTGTTCACATTAATGAATTTAGCATGTTGATTTACTATGTATTTTGTAAGTTTTGCTCCAGATTTTTACAGTTTATTTACCCTATCAAATTAGAAGAAGTTTTGTTCTGCTCATGGAAGTACAGGAGAAAGGATTTATTTTCTTTTAAGGGAAATTTACATATGCCTTATGAATTTACAAATATAGCACCTATAGTTTGATATTTACATTTTTTTCTCTCGCCATTCTTGCTCTGTAATAAAAATTCCTAAGCCTGATGCCCAAAATTTCCTCCATTCTTCACGACACTTTGAGGAGAGAAGGGGGAACTCGTTTCCTGTTTTTAACCGAATTATAGTTTCCTTGAAATAAGAAAAAAACACTTTATATATTTTAGTTATTAATTACTTGATACATTTTTTAACAACTATTCGCATTTGATGGGTGCGAGAATGTTGAGCAGGCCACACCTCAACCAATTGAAAAGAAGCTGGCTTTTTATTCGAGAGAACTGAAGGCCAAACATATGGAGATCGGGCGCATCATTTACAAGTTTAAAAAGTTGAATAACTCCAGTAATATTGCGTTATTGTCATTGAAGCAAGAGTACATAAAACGCAACGAAGAATTATTCTCCATTTTGAGTCTTTTCGTCAGCACAAATAAAAAACTGATAGATGCTCGTGAAGAGTTGGAGCACACACGAGCTAGCCTTGACCAATTCAAGGAAATATTGCAAGCTTACGAAAATAAGGTGTTCACCCTTGAAGAAGAGAATAGAAGACTACGATCATTGAGGAGACGTACTAATCTAGGAACCAAGTAATCCCTCTTATGCGTCAAGGACATATGAAGAACAATAAATTTACTTTATAAGTTTGTGAGAAAACATGCATTTTGTTTCATGCTAACTATTTTAGTTGTGTTTTTTTATTAGTTGTATAAAAAATATGTTCAATTCTTATAATGCATATATTCATGGATTTGTTTGAAACATTATTTTATTGTTGTTTTTTAGAAATTTTTTTTGATGATAAGCTGTTTTTGTCAACAAGATTTGTTAAGATGATGATTGTAAGAAATTTGATCTGTAATTTTTAGAAAAGATATATAAACTGTTTTATCCGCCACAACTTTACAATCACTTTTATAAAAAGTTACGGCCACACCAAATAATCCCTTAAAAAAGATAGTCGTGAACGAGCCAATTATAGAACAAATCTTTAGAATTCTTCATATCTCAAGTTGAGTTCTCATTTTGTGGGGATAATAAGAGTTTATTTAAAATTTTTAAGAATGATAATGTAGTGTTTTTATGGGTGTCAAAAAAGTTCATAAAAAGGTCCATATTTTTTTTTTAATCATGGGTAATTTATTTAACATTTAAATTGTATGCCTAAATCACGGAAACAAATTAATAAATTAATATCTTATTTTTTTTTTATATAATGTAGTAATTTGGAAATAGAAAATAAGTGCAAATATTCATATTTAAGCAACTGAAATTAATTTGGCCAGTTTGAACAGGATAAGGAATGGAATAAAAATGCTAACTCAACAAACAATGTTTTAAGATACTACATGTGGCCATTGGAGACGAATAAGAAAAATGAAAAAAATATATAATGCATTAAAAACATTTGCCAAAATGTGTAAACGTTGGAATGAATTTAAGAAAATGTATTTGCAATTGAAAAGAAAATGAAAATATATATATATTCATAAAAAAAAATAATGTTCTAAGTGATTCAAAAGCATAGTCGTTAAAAGGCATAAATGAGAATTTATAACATGTATTAAAACAATTTAATTCAATATAAATTATTTTACATTTGAATTAGTAAATTACGTGTAAGAAAAAAAAGAAAACAAATCAACATATTATTTAAATGACATTAGATATAATTAAAATTGCATGCAATCTAATTTATAATCGATGCTGTAGGAATTCACAAAAATGGATTGGTATTATTATTTTTTATTCTAATAAAATTATTAGGATATGCATATGCATTGATATGTCTGCATGTGTGTGTGTCTGCATGTGTGTGTGTCAGTATGTGTGTGTGTGTGTGTGTCTATATATTTGTGTGTGCGCACACGCGTGTGTATGTGCGCGAGTGCCGTGTACCCCGACCTATTGGTTAGCATCCTCTATGTAAGTCCCATCAGGTCGGAGGTTCGAATCCTCAATAACGTAGTTAGCCTTAAGAAGGTGGTAATCAAATAGGTAGGCACATTAGAAGTGGCAGGAGAGGAGGTTTGTAAATTAGCCTCTGAAAAAAAAAAAAAGGCCTTATTGACCTCATTTTTTGTGATGTCCAATCTTTCTCTTAAGGCTTATGATCTAGTCATAAGACTTTTCTTTTGACTATTTTAGAAGATTAGTGATGAGACCCATCTCATATATAAATTCTAACCATTTCCTTACTCTTATTGTGAAGTCTCACATTGGTGGTCACAGACCCTCAATCCCTATTTGAGATGGCTAAGACCAACATGTAAAAGCTCAAGAACGAGTTCCATAAGATTAACTGCCCTTGGGGACATCCTTCTTGACCTTAGGGACACCCTTCTTGAACACTCACTACACTTCAATTACACTTCACAGCCCCTTTCCAAAATTCACTCCAAATCATCTAAACTTGCCCAATTTTCAACCCAAATTCAAATTCACATCAATTTACACCAAATCCTACACAAAATCTAAAATCAAATTCAACACCGCACCAAATTCCAAGCCTTATAGCTAAATTTGACAAATTCACATCAAATTCACTTCAACTTCACCAAATTTCAAAATCAAACCCAACTCCGTCAAATTCCAAGTTTCAATCCTATTTTGCCAAATTTATATTCCAAATTCCCTCATAACATTCCTTAAAAATTCACCAATCCATCAATTGTGTTGTGACATGCGTCTACAAGTTGAATTAAAGTGGAAAAGGGTTTATGCTAGGTTTTGATTTGATTTGGGTGAGACTCAACCCCATTAACACCACTTCAATACCATGACAATACTCAGTAACATCACTTCAATACCATGACAATACCCAGTAACACCACTTCAAAACAACTGAAACACCCTAATAATATCACGACCGAATAACACCACATTTCTGCGGCAAAACACCCCCAATAACATCATAATATTACCCCTAATAACACCATTCCCCAGCCGCCACGATAATCGCCTGATAACACCAAATTGCCATGGAAAACGCCTCAATACACCCCCGTTTCATCATTTCCGCTGCAATAACAGAAAAGTATGACTTAAATAATCCCTTCGATAACACTCTTAGCACGGAACCGCGGTAATAGCAGAATACATCTTAAATAATCCCATGGATAACACCGCGCGCCTCGGTACCGCGGTAACAACGAAATACTACCTCGATACTACCATGAATAGAACTTGCATGTGGTTCCGCACAGATTCTCCCAATAACACCAACCCGCCGCAGAAAAAGCTTCAATACGCTCTCCTTTTACAATTAATCGTCAATAACACGTCGTTATGCCCACAATAACACAGCCAATAATTCCACTGCCGCTTTTCGAACCCGATACTACCCAAATACAATGCAGATAACACCACCAATAATACTTCCCGAATTAAATGAAATCACGAATATTCTCCACACGAAAGTTCTAAGACCCTGCAAACCTTTCACAAGTCAACTTTCCTCAAGTGGCAAAAAATAGAACCTCCTCCAAGGATGCTTATCCACACTCATTACTTGTTTTAACCCAAAGTGAAAACTTTAATCCCCAGGATAACACTAAACCACACATCTCCAAGCTGGCCAGCAACTTGGAGAACCGCCCAACCTTATTTTTGTTAAGCTAGCTCAGGTAAAGCACAATGGTTTCAAAACCTTTTCCTTTTAAAATTAAGACTTATGGACACTCGACACAACACAATGAACTTCATAAAACTCTATCTCTGCACTCTCTCAGCATTAATTAAACCTCACACACTCCAGCCAGCCACTCTAGCTACCTAAAAACATCAAACGGAGAACCACCATCTGGGCTCAAACTCAAAGCTCCACCTACATTACTCGACATACCCCCATTGGACTTGGGAAATCGGATTCCTCCACCTCAAAAACACTTTGGACACATCATTTCTTGCCCATTTGTCCACCATGGTCGGGCCTATATGAATGACCATCCATGGCAAAAAAGAAAGATAGACACAAACATTAGCGAAACTCTGCCAAAGCGATTCCAAAACCTTCCCACAACCCTTTGAACATCATCCCCACCATTCCAAGCCTCTCCTCTCCACTGTAAAACCCTAATTTCACACTCAAAATCCAGGACTTTTTCGGCCTCCACCAAAACTCCAAACTAACAGTTGCAAAAGCTTCCTCATAGCCTAAAACTTCATTCCAAATTAAATTCCACTTTTCCGACAGCCTCTAACCTAACCCTAGACCAAACCCGAGACACTTTTAGTCAAGTTCATACTTAGACCCAACCTCAGAACAAACCAACACTTGTAGGAGGTTTGTGTACTCAAGACAAAGCTTTTCAACACATCCAATCGAGGCCTCACCACTTGGCAATGGTGTAGCTCGAAATCTCTTTTATTTTTCCTTATGTTTTGGACCATTGTGAAGAAGGTGAAAACTTCATGCATTCTTAGCCAAATAGATATGTTCTACACACTTAGATGAAGGTGTAGGAACAAACAATACTCGATTTGATGAAGTATATAGGGAGACCTTAGCATTTTAAGTTGGATGTTTCTCAGATTAGGTTGCATTCAAGACGATAAGTCGATGTCGTCCATTTTTTGCGTGTATTAAACAAATGGTGGAGATCAAGCTGGACAGATGAATAAAGCACAAACTGCGGGCAGACGTGGCAAGGACGTGGCAAGCGTAGCAAATGGCGGAGCGACGCGTGGACATGTGGAGCAGGTGTGGTGTTATTTGCGGTATTATTCCAGTGTTATTCAAGGTTTTATTCCAGTTTTATTTGAGCTATATTGCATTGTTATTGGCTCTGCCTTTTCAGATATGTGGAGGATGAAGTGGCGCCGATGTGGTTTAGTAGAAAATTATGGGTGTTTTTTATTTAATTAAATGCATAAACTTAAAAAAATCATATCTTGACATAGAAAAATTATAAAAATAAAAATAAAACTATCTCTTTGCTCAGTAAAAAGATGAGAACATTATGAACTAAACCTTGACATTTATTTAATATTTTATTTTAAATTAATTAAAAACCCCATAGCATAATTAAATCATATAAACTTAAATACTACTCATTTTGACTTGAAATTTTGTGGGTTTGTTCCTAATGTTATTAGGCAGGTCTTCTGATTTTTCTAAAATCAAAGGACATCTCTATGTTTAAAAACCCTAATTTGGTAATATATTTATCTTTGTCCAATTAAACAATTCATAAAAAATGAAATAAAAAAAATATATATATGAAAACCCCTTTGATTGTTCTCTAAAGTCAGAGGGATTTTTAAAAAAAATAAAATTATATTTTAAATTTATTAAATATTTTCTATTTAATTTTCTTTCTAAAAATCATCTAAAAATCATAAAAAATAAAATACATTTAAAAAAATCACTAAAATTGCTCGAATTTGTCCTTCTGACTTTTAACAACACTACATAATTTTTCTAAAGACAGAAAACATATTTTAAAAATCAAATCAATTAATATCGAAAATTCACAGGTATGTGTTTAAACAATTACAGAAAATAAATAAATGTCACAAAAAATATAATTTCTCCTCTGGTGTATTAATTGACTCATGAGTAATTGGTCATTGAACTTTCATGATCTTTTAGATCATAATGTGAGAGTTATGTGAATAGGATCCCTAGGGGCATTTTGAGAAATTTACCTTTTAACCCTAACTTAATTAATCTTTAGGATAAACCAAGGAGAGGGACATTAAATAATGATAATTGATTCTCTGAAGCTTTGAGCTTGAGTTTTCATCTACATACAGTTTTAGGAGTATTATAAGTTGATTTTAGATACTTATTTTTATTAACATTTAGTAACTTCTTGGATTAGTAAACTGTTGTAGGTGTGAAAATTGTAATGATGAAGAAGGATATTTGCTCTTTTTCGAATTCTACATATTTCAGACAGTTTGCCTTTGGATTTTCGATGGTTTGCAACACAGTTGTCGTTAAATATGATGACCGGTAAGCATTGGTAAATATAGCAAAGGTGAACCAATATTTCAACGGGATATCGAACAAAAGACGGCTCTTTATGACAACCAATAAATTGACCAAAAAAGACAAATTTTCATTTTTGCTCAAGTTTACCGTCAAGTTGGATTGTCGGTAATGACTAAAGGCTTTGCTACACGTGTTCAACAAACACCCTCTTTCAATCACCGATGGCGTCAGTACTCTTACCAACGGAAAACGATGGCTTACCAACAATCTAGATTTAAGTATACAATGAAGGTTTTGTTTTGTTGAAAACAGTTGGAACACAAAAGCCGTCGAGAAAATAATTGGTTAAAAATTGTTGACAAATGAATTAGTTGTGTTTCTTAAGCCATAGTTAAGTAGTCATAAATATATTAACCAACACCTCAGTTTTTAGATATTATCTGACTGGCGACAGCTTGTGGCCCTTGGAAATATGTTGATTTCCTTTAGGTTCTGTGTGTGTGTCTCTCTCTCTCTCTATATATTATTAATAAATAAATAGGCACACACATGCATACACATATCTAATGCCATTTAAATAATATGTTGATTTTTCTTTCTTTTTTTCTTACGCATAATTTAGTAATTCAAATCTAAAATAATTTATATTGAATTAAATTATTTTAATACATGTTATAAATTCTCATTTATACCTTTTAACGACTATGATTTTGAATCACTTAAAACATTATTTATTTTGTGAATATATGCATTCTCATTTTCTTTTCAATTGCAAATAGATTTCCTTAAATACGCATATTGACAAATGTTTTTAATGCTTTATATATATATATATTAAATGTAAGAAAATGTAAGAAAAATATATGCTTTAATAATGTTTTGCTATATTAAATGTAAGAAAAACGAAATATATATATATATTTCGTTTTTCTTACATTTAATATAGCAAAACATTATTTGGTGATTTAATATTTTGTTCCCTTCCTTATCCAATCAAACCGGCAAAAGTAATTTCAATTAAAAGACATTTAATACATTATATTTGCTATTTGGTGATTTAGACACGCAATTAAAAGACATTTAATACATTATTATATTGAATTATAATAAAATCTATTAGTTATCATTTTTTGGGCAAAAATTGTCTTATCATTTTCTTTTTAATTATTCAAACGGGACATAAAAATTATATGTTTCCATTTTTTATTCCCAAGGGCAATGAACTTTTGATTTATGCCTATAATATTTTCTTGCATGCATGAAATCAATTCATGTTAAATTACGATTTGGTTTATTTTAGCAAATTATTTAAATATTTCATTTCTATTTTAAAATAAATGATATCTATAAATAAGATTAATCTTTTTTTTTTTAATGGGGAGGAGCTTAGGATTAAGAATAAGATGGAAAATATTGACATTTAGAGGAGAAAATAGATATTAAAAAATGAATCTAATTAAAATGTATACTTAGCTGTTTTCGATGCACATTTCCTAGAGCAAGGAATGTGCTAAAAATTATTTACACATCAAAACCCAATTGTTGATCTATGCATGCATAGGTAAATCAGAGACCAAACCACAAATTTACTGCAAGGCCGAACCTAGTAATTTATCATCTCAATCCACGACAAACATTAAATTGTTGTGTCATTTTATTAATTCTTACGCTGTTTGTTCTGTGCGTATTGTCTATTCACAACAAGTATCAAATTCCACAACTCAATAGTCTCAATATAAGAATTGAATATATTTTTTAAATAATTAATAAAAAACAGAACTAAAATAGTTAGCATGAAACAAAATATATGTTTTCTCAGAGATTTATAAAATAAATTTATTATTATTCATATGTCTTTGAGCCATAATAGAGATTACTTGGTTCCTAGATTAGAACACCTTCTCAATGATCGCAGACTTCTATTCTTTTCTTTAAGGGTCAACACCGTATCTTGATAAGCCTGCAATATTTCTCTACTCTGACCAAGGCTAGCTCGTGTCTGCTCCACTCTTCAAGAGCATCCATTAGTTCTCGATTTTTATGGAAGAAAGCAATCACCATGGTGGATAATTATTCCATGCATTTTGAGAACTGACGCAACAATGACAATATCTCAATATTACTGGAGCTGTTTGACTTCTTATACTTGCTAATGATGTGCTTGATCTCTAGAAGTTTGGTCTTCAATGCTCTCAAAATAAAAAACCAGCTTGTCTTCAATTAGTGGAGATATTGCCTACTCAAAATTTTGGCACGCATTAAATGTGAATAGTTGTTGAAAAATGTGTCAAATAATTAATAACTAAAAATATCAAGTATAAGTTGACTTTTTATTCGAGAGCATTGAAAAACAAACTTCTAGAGATTGAGCACATCATTGACAAGTACAAGAAGTTGAATAACTCCTTTAATATTGAGATATGGTTATTGCTACGACAGTTCTCAAAATGCAGAGAAGAATTAACCACCATGGTGATTGCTTTCTTCTTGAAAAAAATCAAGAACTGATGGATGCTTGTAAAGAGTTTGAGAATACGCGAGCTAGCCTTGACTAATGCAAGGAAATATTGCAGGTCTTTCAAGGTAGGGGGTTGACCATTGAAAAGAGAATAAAAGGTTGTGATCATTGAAGAGATGTTCTAATCCAGGAACCGAGTGATCCCTCCTCGGGCTCAGTGACTTGTCGTAACTTCATGGTTCGGTCTTCAATTTATTATGCATGCATGAATCAACAATTGAGTTTTGATGTGTAAATAAACTTTAGCACATTCCTTTCTCTAGATGCTATACATCCAAAACATCTAAATATAGAGTTTAATTAGATTCATTTTTTAATATCTCCATCCATTCTTAAAGGTGAACTATTATTTTCTCATCTAAATGTCAATATTTTGACAAGTCCTTTCATTTTTTTTCTTTGTAAAACGGAGCAGTAGTTCCCTTTCGTAAAATAACAAAGTTGTGTTCTAATGACAACTAGTAAACTCCTAAAATAACTTCACTAAATGATGCCCAAGGCGCTGTTATCTTTTGGTTTTATTTTTATTTCATTTTCAAAAATATAATTATTTAATGTATTTTTTGTATATTTTATTTTTTATTTTTAAAAATACTAATCATATTTATTTTTAGTAAATTATATAAATAAAATAAAATAAAAATCAAAATTTAAAATAATCTTAAATGACACCTAAATTAAGAATCAATGACCAGATTGTGTCTTCGAATTTGAATATAAAAATTTCTATCAACTTCGTTAAGGAACATTGGCCTACAATACCAATTAATCTACGATCATACTTTTCAAATTATTTATATGCATTGGGAAATTAAAGTATTTGGGAAATAAGAAATTTTGAAGCATCATCATTTGGCTTAACATTTTATTATATTTTTCAAGTATTAATTACTTGGCATGTTTTTCAACAATAATTTACATTTGCGCGACATGCCTCTACCATTTGATGATGAGCTGACTATTCCTTCGAGGGTATTGAAGATCAAGCTTTTAGAGATCAAGCACATAATTAACTAGTACAAGAAGTTGAATAACTCTAGTGCGATGAAGGTATTATCATTAAGACACCAATTAGCGAAATATTTTGAATTAGTTATCTTCCATGATGACATTTTTTTTCCTCGCCGAAACACCCAAAATTGATATATGCTCTTAGAGAGTCGAAGAAAACACTGCAGACTTTCCAAGATAGAATGTTGACTTGTTAAGAGGAGAATAGAAGACAATGATCTTTGAGGAGATGTTCTAATCAAGGAGCTCAATGATCCCTCTTCTAGCTTGAGAGCAGATCGGGGGAGGATACTCCTAATGACAAAGGGGGAAATTGAAGTGGACTGACATCTTTATTTTCTTTCTTCCACTCATTTTTATTAATATTTTGTTGAATAAGTGCGATCGTTGCAATTATTTGTTGAATTAAAATTACTATATTTTCAAATAAATAACGTAATAATTTTCTAGAGCAAACGAGTCCGCCCCATAAATCATAGTTTCCCCGTTTTAGTTCCCATCACTGCCCTAATATTCAAACTTCGAGTTCAGGCGCTCGTCGTTTCCCCTCTCCACAATCCTCCCATCTCTTCCCCTATCCACTTCTCACCTCATTTTCAATGCCAGTCGACCTGTCGATTCTTGATTCATTGAGCGAGCAGGCCATTGGAGAGATTCTTCAGAGCTGGAGCGCCTTCGTCTACTGTACTGAGATCCTTCTAGGCGGGAGAGGCGATCTCTCCGCGGTCTCCGAGCTCGCTAGCTCCGTGGCCATCCTATGCAGAAACGGCTTACGCTCCCTCTTGGAGGACCACTTTCTCCAATACCTTGAGGTACGGCTGAGTGACGATACTATTAAAGCCCTTACCTTTGGCTGTTAAATGACTGCCGAGACTGGCAACAAAACTGTTCAAGTTATATATGCGATTATAGGCGACTTTTTTTCTCTGATGAAGCCAAGAAGTTGTCAGAACGTTTATCTTTGTCTGAGAGGACTCCACATTGAATGTCTCTAGGAATGCTGGACCAAATTCGAGAGATTTTTAATTTATTTTCTATTAACATCAATCAATTATGATGCCATGGAACATACTTTACTGAAGAACTTATTGTAAATGTCGGCCATCTCTTGGTTCCATCGGTAATGATGAGTTGTAAGGAGTGTTCATATAGTTGCTGAAGCCATTCCATTGATCAGCGTGAAAACTATTGAATACGAATGTATGCTCCAACCTGTTTGGTTTAACGGACTAAATTATATCTCTGTTTTTGCGCTTCTTCTCCATCACCTATTGTTGAATACCATAAACAATACACTATTATACCTTAATATGAAATATATTACTATGGATCACCGTGCTTGATTTATTTTTTACTATTTTCAAATGAGAATTTTTTTGACTATCTTCAATTGAAAAATATTTCAAATATAAGCCAAAATCTGTTAATTGAATATGTTTTTTGGATTTTCTGTTAGCTATGGTTTAGGTGATGCTTGTTGGATGCCGAGGTCTACCTTAAACGTATGATCATCACATGCTATGTTGTTCTCCCTGCATTGATTTATGGGAAATAATGCATTTACATATCCTGAACCTAAACTTCCATATTTACATATATTGTGGGAAATAATGCATTTACATATCCTGAACCTAAACTTCCATATTTACATATATAGCATTTAGATGCTTTAAACCTATGCATGAAAAGGTGTATATGACTTATAAAAAGTGGTAATAGTGCTATTTTTAATGTGATATTATAGAATTGAGTGCTTTGTGTGTAAATATGAAACTTTAGGTGCGAGATATGTAAATACATAAGAATTATGTGTTGTGTTTGTAAACATCTCTTGATTTATTTACACCTTAAAATGTCATGCCATGCTTTGTTGTGTGTCTCATATTTGAATTGCTTGCCATATTCACGTTTGGAATTGCTTAGAAATTTTAAAAATTCACCGCTTAGTTGGTTACATAGATGTTTTTTAGCTTCTACGTAAGAAGCTTCATGGTTTCATTGTGACTTCAAATGACCATTGTATAAATTGTGTTTGGTAGATAGCTATTTGTTCATCATTGTTTAAGCATGCATAAGGCGAATAAGTGGATATTTTTTTTCTGTAGCTTCTCTCGATCTATTCATCATTTTATGTGAATTAATTTTAAGTGTACTGAAAACTTGTATGTTTAAGGGTATAAACTTGAAATCTCCTAGCATTTTTTTTACTATATGATTTTTGATATTGCAGGAGGCATTTATGGCAAGTGCGGTCTTGAAGTTCTGGCGGCACTTCGATCCGTATTCTGATGTGCCAGGATTAGATCTAAAAAACCATCAAGTATTTTATCAAGCCCTTGCTATCCATTCTACTAAAATACAATGCATGTTAATAGTTAATGCAAAATTAAATTGCAATTTTCAAGTTATTTCCATTGAAATATTTAGGGTGTGTGTTCCTATAGGCTTTGTTTGTTAATGTTAGCATGTAATAACATCCTCTCATCTCATGAAAAGATGGGCGAGTTGCTTTGAAAGGGGTTGAATCTGATCATGAAGCCATGAAGGAGATGCATGTGTACCATAAGTCCTTTCATGACTTGTTTCCTACATAAATCCAAATAGTGATATGCAAGCTTTTTGAAAAGCACAACAAAGAAATAGAATTACCAAATGAAGCACAATTGATTACCCAATCCTTAATAGAATCAGACTTGGCAGACCTATATAAAAGTAACTCAAACAAGTTACCAGCTTTTGAAAAGTTTATATTTCCATATGTCAGTTGTGCTGTTCAACTGTAGTTCAAACTAAAAATTGGATACCCAACATGCATATTTCTTACAATTTTGTCGAGTTTCCTTATGTGACTGTATCCAAAAGAAAACAATATGATAGAATTTTGTTTTAGCCTCAATTATCTATGATTTTAAGTTGCTATTCGGCTTCTTTATCTTCTTAAAATGAATTTTTCCTTTGGGGAATCTTTTGTTGTCTTCAAATCACTTTACTCTAATTAAGGGTGCGGTTGTTTCAGCTGCAGAAAAGCTCGGTTCAAAAGATGTTGTTGAAAATCTGCTGTTTATAAGTTGGTATTTTAGAAGCAGTTGGTTTATTTAAAAAACACAGTTCAAAAAGTGATGTTTACCGAATAATGACTGTAATACCCCTTAGTATATAACCATAGTTTTGTTTGATTTATTCCAGGTTATTACATTAATTCGAGATCACCAAAATAATTTCATAGCCCAAAATTTGTATCAGTCAAACATTTACATTTAGACAGGGCATTCGGCCACATATTACAAATAACCTCCTATGTGAAAGTTTAGCCGCACCATTTCACCACAAGCTCCACACGATAAACAAGGATTGTTTGAGCTGTTACAACTTGTACCAATCTCACAACTACAACTTCCATCATATACAATGTAAACTTGTGCCTTTCTATCAAGTATTGAGGATGATTGCTTCAATCTTAACAACGCAAGCATGCAATGTTTCTTGTTTGAGGGCATCTAAGAGAAAGAATTCAGCTGTTTGTGTACAACCATTAGAAGAAAGAGCATGATAAATCCATGGTAGATCTAAATCTTCTGATGCATTCCGAACTATGCTGTTCCACCATTGTTACAACCAAAAAATTGGCTATATACAAATCAAGGCAAATGATTTGTGTTTCAATATTCTAAACCAAAAAGCAATGTGATTATCGCTTCCACAATTAAGTTTTTCGCCTAGGATTGTCCTCGTAGAGCTAGGGTTTCTAAAGATGGCATTTTAGGAGCCGAGAGAGGAAGAGGAGTTCTTGGTGGTAAGCAACGAACGACAAATCACAATCAAGTAGTCGGTTGATCTCGCCGCAAGAGCGGGATCAACATGAAGGAGGCAACAATCATCAGCTGCAACTTCGGGAAGACGACGACTGACAGCTTCGGCCTGGGGATTCGTCGTGTTGCGACCGCTAGTGCTTTCTGCGAGTTTCGGGAAGACGTCGCGATGGTAAAGTGGGTGTTTTTACTCTTGCCGCGATTGACCTCAGTGATATATTTGCGTTTGCGTTTTTTACTATTCCACTAACACAGTTGTAAACGCCTACCGTGAAAAGTGCAATACAGATGGAGAAAAAAACGCCGTTTGTAACAAAATGTGGTTTAAAAAGTTGAAACAAACTGAACCTAATTTAACTACTCAGTAACCTTCTTATTGGATCTTTTATTCATTTGTGAACTCTTATATTATATCTAGAGTTTGCTTGACACCGATCTAGGGATTTTCTATGATGTATGTGGAATGATATGAGGGTTGGGGATGATTGTAGAATAATAATGGAAAAAATGGAGAATGAACAGGGTTTTCGAAGGGGTAATTGATTACAACTTCTGTTTTGGAAGAAAAACATCAAGAGTCACAGGCTGTAAGGATGGAGGGATATAAGCATTGAAGGGATTTATCACCTACTCATGATTAAGCTATAGACACACCTATTGAAAGAGAAGAAGAGCACTCATAAGGTTGAAAAAAAAGTTTCCAATGCTATAAAATCAAACAAAGCCTTAGACAATATTTATACTAATGCAAATAAAATAAACCTAATTCTAATTCAAGGCACTTGAAGCTTTTGGTTTAGTTCCACATTAGGTAGTTTAAAAAATGGTACTCTAGAAATATAAATGATTAACTGTATCCTATAGACTTAAACTTTCGAAGAAAATGGGCTTAATTGCAGGTGTTTTGGGTTGATCATCTTGGTTTTCTTACTTCCTAACGATGCTGGATATAACATCCCTTCACATTTAGTTGTATGTAAAAAAAATTTAATTGAATGGTTCTTTTCACTGTTTTAAATTAACAAAAAAAAATTAATCTTTTTCTGCATCAGCTCAATATTTATGGGCATTCTGCAGGCTCTTGTTAATCAGCTTCAAGAAGCACTTAGTTCATCACTGGAGGAGATATGCTCAGAGAAGAATTACCAGGAAAAGTGCCTTTCTTTGCTCATTCATGCTTTGGAATCATACGAGGAGAGTTTCGCGACGGATAAAATGTATTATGGGCATCATGAATCCAATCTGCTTTCCAGATACCAGTTGATGGTATCTTCTGTTCTTTTGACAACGCTTCCTTTTCACTTTCCTGGTATGCAATCCTATATTACACATTTATAATTATTTCTGCTACGATTATCTAAGAATAAAACGTGTTTTATTACTAGCCTTTTGTTTTATATTTGATAGGAATTTTTTTTTTTTTTGCCTTTATGAATTATAATCTCATCCAATGTTATCAAACCACAAAGTACAATGCAATACAAAAGACTTTATTTTTGCTTCAAAGCTCAAAGAACAAAGCACAACATAAAGTGACACTTTTATTTTTGCTTCTAAGTTAATGTTGAAGTTTCACTAAGGATGGGCCGAATCATAGCTTATTTATGAAGAAATTGAGAATAGATGAGGAGAAAAAGGAACTAGCACTTGTTCACTTCCTATAAAAAACGGTACAATACATAGATTTTATGACATACTAATGAAAGAAAATGCACCCAATACACACTAAATTTGACATGACCAAACACTTGTTATCAAAATTTAAATCAAATGTTGAGCTAATAGGTAAAAAATAAAAATAACAAATTGGAGCCAAAATGGGATCGCTGGATGCTGTAAGTAAGCTTTGACATGTGATTATATACATTCATGAGGAAAATTTTGAGGAGATTGACAGTATAAAATAACACATTATTGTCATTTCAAGGAAATTGATAGTAACAACATCACCTTACCATCCAAATTTGTTTCCAACCATGTAATTACTTGTCCAGATTTGCTTCACAGATTGATTCCTCGGCCATTTAATTATTGGTTGTCAAATATAGTAAGGTAGGTTTGTATAAACTGGCAATATTTCCAGTAAGGCAAGCTATAGTTCACATAAAATTACTCAGTGATTAGATTGTCAAAAATACCTTTAGAGAGCGGTTTGGTAAAAATGTAGCTTTTTTAGATGTTTCAGAGTGTAAATTAGAGAGAGAATTTCATGATGAACTTTTCATTTATGATTTGACGGCCAATTTCTACATGCTTGGTTTGTCATGGTGATCAAGATTTTTTGCGATATTTGTGTCAGCTTGCTTGGTACTTAATAATCTTATAGATTCATTTATGGAAATAGAGAACTGATTGTGGAGTAGCTGTAGACATCCCTTTTCAAATTTCAAGGGTCATAGCTTTATTCTGCTTCAATAATGCTCTTGGCAACAATTGGATGCCTTTGCCACTCAGTATGACTATAGGAATATGTAATATCTATTGGTATTTCAACATTTTGTCATGGATTCTTCCTGGTCAATATACGTGAAATTCTTAAATTTTTTTGTGTTTTTTTTTGAAAAATAATCCTTTAACAAGTTTCAATTTTCAGTATATTAAAATTCTTATAATTGCATTCATGTGCTTTTCTGTGAGGTTACTCATGAATTGTCTAACTGGGCGCTTAGCAAAGAAATGTCGGGCTTAAATGACTGCTAGATTAATTCATCAACATTTCTTTAATATTAGCCTTTGTTTACAAGAGCATTGTCTTCCTCTATCCCTAATGTGATATTACTGTTTATTGGAGAATCTAATGGCTTGCATCCAAACATGACGTCTTTTTTAAGAGACTAAGAATTTATTCATGATATGAAACGTGACATTTACAGGATCTAGCAACCTCCATCTCTAGGATCATAATTTTTAACTACTTCGGAGAATCTATCAAACAAGGCATGAGGAAATTAATTTTTGCCATTTAGGGATTTCTTTAGTTTACATATTTTGTTAGTAATGAGCTATGAGTAGAATCTAGGAGGTATTTCCATGAATATCTCATCTTCTTGATCGCCATTAATAAAGACAAATTTTGTGCCAAATTGATACATTACCCGATCAAAATTTATAGCAAGGGATAGAAGTGTCCAAATAGTATTGATTTTGGCGACGTGCACAAATGTTTCTTGGTAGTATCATGAGTTGATTAGATCCTTTTGGCACAAGGTGGGGTTTAAACCTTTCTATGCTTTAATTTATTTTATATTTGATATTTGATGGTAAATATTCATTTGTATCAAATAGAGTTTTCCCTAGAGGTAAATTAGAGATATCCGATATTTATATTCGATATTTATTTCTTCAAGAGCTTGGATTTCTTTAAGACCAATATATTTCCATTAAAGATTATTAAGGACCACATGGATGGATTTAGAAATCTATTTTTGAGTGAGATTGCTGATGATTGTATGAGACTTGGATGAAAGAGTAGTAAAAGATACAAAATTATGGACAAGATAGTTGGTGCATGGTCTTAACATTTTCTTACATTAATAGATTTCTCAAGGTCATCATAGGAGAATTCAACATTGAGAAGTTTAGGATGACTATTTCCTTGTAACATTTTAATAAAGATTGGATCAGGATCAGATTTTTGGTTTTACTTCTACTATGTAGAGTCTACCTATGTTCGCTTTCTTTCAAAGTAAACAATCATACTATTATTTTTAGAGGGTTATTTATTTTATTTGGTGGGAGATGGACGATAATGGTCAAGGTTTTCAATGATTTCTTGAATGAGAGCAGCGATAAGAAATTTTTTAATAGGATTTTAAAATTGATACTCCTGATGAATGACCCCTCTAAAGAAAAACTAGTTTTTTAAAAAATTGTTCAAAGAAGCTTCTTGCGCCTTCAAAATTTCGCTTAAAAAATTTATACATGTAATTCTACTGTTTTCATCTAGGAAGAAGAATCGGTTGTATCCAATTACATTTTTTTTTAGTCTGGTTGGATATCAAAGTAGATAAGAGAAGTATGCGAAATTTTTATCTTGATGGGATAATGATGCTAGTGTTATTTTGACATTAAAAAGTCTTTTAGACATATTGATGAATTTGCTGCTGAATCTGTTGTTCAACCAAGACAACCTGTTCGAGCTCGAGTTTGTTCCCTTATTAGTAGAGTGCCTGATGAATCTACTGCTGATATTGTGCTACTAGGGATTGATGAATGTTATGTTTTATTGCATGTTATCGAAGTGTCATTCTAGTATATTTTCTTTTAGAGGATGTGTGCTATTGTCATGTTACTTTGTTTTAGATGTGATGCTGTCTTTTTTAGCTGATGGGGAATGTTAGTTGTTATCTAGTATTAAACCGTTATTTTATTGTGTTTACTTTTTATCTTAATGAATGAGATCTAGAACTCTAATGAGAAGTGATTTGAGGATTGAGGCTTGCAGTATATTTACAAATTTTGAAGATAAAGTCTTTATAAGAATGAAATATTGTAATAATTAATTAAAAAAATAAAATAAAATAAAAAAAGAATAGAAAAAGGACTTTTATTTGATTTGTGGCGATTCAAACTAATCGTCATCTCGATTGGGTTCTTCGTAGGCATCGAACATTTCATTTGAATTGGAGAAAAGAAATTGAAGAGCAATCGAGAGACGGAATCTGAGAAGAAGGAATGAGAGTCAAAGAGATCGAGAGTGGGAGAAGGAAGAAGAAAAATGAGAAGTCGCGTGGTTCTCTTACCGAAGATTTGACACCCTTTTCAAAAAGTCGACGACAATGGCTTTGTCTTAAAGGAGGAAGAGGAGGTGTGAAAGGTTGCTAAACCCTATCCTTGCACTGAAAAGAAGAGCTTGTCAAGTACCGTCAAAGTCTTTGTTTGCTCGAAGATGAAGGAAGAAGGTGGGGTCGATTCGACCTTGTACGGGTTTGACCAGAAGAAAATGGAGGGAGTGAGATAGAATTGTAAATGAGCCGAGTTAATGAGCGCACGAGCTGAGCTTATCGAGCCACATTTTATTGAAAATCAGAAAATAATAAAATGAAAAAAAATTAAATTTAGAAACTAATGCTATATCTATTGAGTTAATTTGAATTAAAAAAATAATAAATGGTTACATATGTATATTTTTATAATTTTCAATTGAGAAGATATAAATTACATAAGATGACTAGAAAGTTAAGTTAATATGTGATGATAATTTTTACTCTTAGTAAATTTGGAGGATCAATATTTTATTGTCCAAATTTTATTAAGCTTAATTTGTTTAAAAGAAATAGTTAAATTTATATTGTGAAATAAATATACATAATAACATATTATATGATAAATTAAAGGCAAATTTGTATTCTAATAATAAGATTAACATATAAGAAATTTATTATGATTCTTTATCAATTTGACTATAAAATTTCATTGGAGATAAGTTAAATAACAATTGATAAGAGAATTATTAGTGATTGGAGTGAGTTCTCTTAATTTTAATCTATAGTAGTATTTTGTTTCTTCTTAACAATTCTGCATGAGTAGTTAATGATACTTGTACAAGTTTTATTCTGATCGATATGCTTTTTTCTTTATGTGTCATATTGTCATGAATGTCATATATTTGTAGCTACTTACTATCATGCATTAGTTATTGCTATATATATAATATGTATTGAATGGAATGAGATGGGCACATGAATGATATTTGTTATATTGATTGATTGTATGTGTATGTATGGTTATAATGGAGTCAAACATTTTATGATACTAGGGGGGAACGCTGTACCCCTGCACGTAAATGAAAAATAGTATTGATATTGTTGTATCTTTATTGGTGCAAATTTTAGACGATGTTCTTGTGACAATTGTATACAAATTAAATATGTATTGATATGTAAATAATACATAAGGCAATTAATATATAGAATCACCTTGAATGATCAATTATATATTAAAAATCTTTAAATGCTCTTAGATTAATTTACATAAAGTTTAATTGACATCTATATTGTTTTCTTTTTCATGGTATTATTATAGTTTAGGAGTATAGATATTCATTGGCTATAGTTAGCTCACTATTGTTTTAAACTAATCTTTTCATGTTTGATTAATTGGTTAAAAGATGATCAATATAAAAGAAAATATTTATATAAGACGTGGACAACCTGACCCGAGTTAAGTTTAGAACTTTTTTATTTTAATCCTTTTTTATATAGTGGCTCTTTCATTTGCTAAATGTTAGTTATAGAAATTGAATATAGAAAAATTTAATTTTCACCATCCGATCGTCTTTACCCACATTGGTTAATTTCAAGTCCTGGG